CACTCCTAACTCACCGAGACGCCGCAGCATGATACCGTGGTCCACGGTATCAAAAGCCGCTGAGAGGTCCAAAAGCACAAGGACAGAGGAATAACCCCTGTCCCGGGCCCTCCAGAGATCATTCACCAACGTGACCAATGCCGTTTCCGTGCTGTGTCCCGGCCTGAAGCCCGACTGGTATGGGTCTAGATAATCTGTTAAAGGCAGAAACTTCAAAATGGCCAAATCTTGCAGGATTTCAGTGATGTCTGATGACGACTTGGTTGAAGAAGTCAATTATTTCGGGATGCGTTGAGTGAAAATGACAGTGTTGGGTTTTTTTGTGTAGGATCACTGATGACTTGAAGCAAGAGTTGATCTTGCAAGCTTTGCTGGTAAATGGTGGTGGATTTCAAACTTTTATTTTATTAAAAGCTGATTGTACCACTTCTTGATCATGCAAGGTTGCCCAGCACCTTAAAAAGATTTCTGACTTCAGCTCAAGATCTTACTTTAGTTCATTTTGCGGACATTTCTATGCATACACAGAGGCTCCATATTTCCAAATACCAGGAGCTGAGAAACAGGAATTGCAAGCAAGGCCTTAAAAAAAATAAGAAAGCAAAGGGTGTTGTCAATTGGCATATTGTGCATAAAACGCCAGCTTCACACGTTCAATCTGGTGGCACAGTTTGATGGCTGGCCCAAGCTTCAGTTCCATGCATTCCTGGACTGTTGGGAGTGTCAGCAGGAGAAGGGCTTGTCCATCAATATCCTGCAAAAAGGAGGAACAGGAATATATATATAGTTAAGGAAGCATCCTCAGTTGAAATTTGAAAACATCTGGACTGTGGGGCTTTTGTACAACTTGATCCAAGGAAATAACACCCCCGGGTGTCTATTAATTGAACAAAAGATTTGGCCCAAACAAAATTCATAGGCACAAAAAAAAAAGGAAATAAGGAACTTTGATGAGGAAGTACTACAGCTTTGGGGGTTTCCTAATGCTTTAGTCTAAGGAAAAATATGGAAAAGACAGATAAAATCATACATGGAGTAGAAAATGTGGACTCCCAAGTTTTTCTCTCTCATGATATGTGAACCCATTCAGATGAAATGTTAAGAAGGTTCAGGGTCATGAATGGATCAGCTGCCTATCATCAGAAATATTCACAGCCACACATGTGACGGTTTTACAGAGGCTGAACAGTTCCTCAAAGAATTAAGCTACCAGGGGCTTCTGATTTTGATGGCTGTTTACTATTTAATATATCTTAAATATCAGAAAGCCAGAGTGACATTAATATAGGTATCCTTGCGTAATGACCAGTCATTTAGCAAATGTATGGAGTTATGATAGACCTCTCCAAAGCTACTTATGACTTGGGTCCAGAGTCCGACAGCTGCATGCATACACACACACACACACACACACACACACACACACACACACACAATTAACTAGTGGAACAACCTGCCTCCAGAAGTGGTGAATGCTCCAACAGTGGAAGTGATTAAGAAGAGACTGGACATCCATTTGTCCGAAATGGTATAGGGTTTCCTGCCTGAGCAGGGGGTTGGACTAGATGACCTCTGAGGTCCCTTTCACCCTATCAATCTATGTCCTATGCTGATGCAGTTCTGATCTTATATCAGGAAGTGCTACAGGAAAGAAAGAAAGAAAGAAAGAAAGGAAGGAAGGAAGGAAGGAAGGAAGGAAGGAAGGAAGGAAGGAGGAAGGAAGGAAGGAAGGAAGGAAGGAAGGAAGGAGAGGAAAGAAAGAAAGAGAAAGAAAGAGAAAGAAGAGAAAGAAAAGAGAGAGGGGAAAGAAAGAAAGAGAAGAGAAAGAAAGAGCAAGAAGAAAGAAAGCAAGAAGAAAGAAAGAAAAAAGAGAAAGGAAGGAAGAAAGGAAGGAAGGAAAGAAAAGAGAGAGAGAGAGGAAAGAAAAAAGAAAGACAGAAAGAAAGAGAAGAGAAAGATAGATAGATAGACAGACAGACAGACAGACAGACAGACAGACAGATAGATAGATAGACAGATAGATAAAGAGAGAGAGAGAGAAAGAAAGAGAGAGAGAGAAAGAAAGAAAGAAAGGAAGGAAGGAAGGAAGGAAGGAAGGAAGGAAGGAAGGAAAGAAGGAAGGAAGGAGAGGAAAGAAAGAAAGAGAAAGAAAGAGAAAGAAGAGAAAGAAAAGAGAGAGGGGAAAGAAAGAAAGAAAGAGAAGAGAAGAGAAAGAAAGAGCAAGAAGAAAGAAAACAAGAAGAAAGAAAGAAAAAAGAGAAAGGAAGGAAGGAAGGAAAGAAAGAAAAGAGAGAGAGAGGAATGAAAAAAGAAAGACAGAAAGAAAGAGAAGAGAAAGATAGATAGATAGATAGATAGATAGATAGACAGATAGATAGATAAAGAGAGAGAGAAAGAGAGAGAGAGAGAGAGAGAGAAAGAAAGAAAGAAAGAAAGAAAGAAAGAAAGAAAGAAAGAAAGAAAGAAAGAAAGAAAGAAAGAAAGAAAGAAAGAAAGAAAGAACCTGTTCCTGAAATATTTTGGCAAGGGAAGCGCAGTCGGTCAGCCGGAGGAATTGCACCACATCGGTCACTGTCCATTCCAGCGGGTTGCTCTCCAGAATGAGCATCTCTTCCGCAGCCTGCTTGATCTGCAATGAAGCAAAATTGGGATCACAAAATTAGGACTGTTCTGAGTGATCCAGTCTGGCTCTTTTCCTAGCTAGGAAGTCCTCCGATATGTCTTATAATGTAGCGTTAAGTAATTAATATACTATTGGAAATAGTAGCCTTTAGAATGTTTTAGATTCTTTCTGGTTTACATTTATTTGTACTCTGCTCTTTCTTTCGTATGTTTTCTACTTACTTTTTTTTAAAGTTCAATACTCAACCTCCCCCCCCCAAGTACAGTATATCTTAACCTTGGCCACTGGAAGAGGTATGGACTTCAACTCCCAGAATTCCCCAGCCAGCATGGCTGACTGGGGAATTCTGGGGGTTAAAGTCTACACTTCTTCCAGTTGCCAAAATGGAGAAACTCTGGTTTAGAGCAGGGCTTTTCAACCTTTTCACCCATTGTACCACTTTTAGGACATGGCAACATCCAAGTACCACCAGTCGCCTAGCAAGGTGTCAAAAACTTGATGATCCAAAAATAAAAAGGAAAAAAGTGATAAAGTACAGGTAGTCCTCGACTTACAACAGTTCGCTTAGTGACTGTTCGAAGTTACAATGGCACTGAAAAAACTGCCCCCCCCCCAAGGCACAGCCGACCAAGACACCTGCTTGCCTGCCCGGCGGCGCTCTTCCTCCTGTCCGAGGTTTTCATTGTTGTGAGCATTTTTGTTGAAGATTGGCAGCGGGAGTGGGGTGGGGGAGTGTTTGGTTTTTATTTCCCCCCCCATCTACTGGGTGGTTGCAGCAGGTTTTGGTCATTTCACATGACCCTGGGACACTGTGACCGTCATAAATACGAATCAGTTGCCAAGCATCTGAATGTAAATCACAAGACCCTGGAGATGCTGCAACATTCCAGCTGATCGGCGCTTCTTCTGGGGCCTGGCGCTGATCCTGGCGCTTCCACTGAGCCCTGACAGCCCTGCAGCTACAGCCATCTCTCGCTCAGGCTTGTGCGGTGCTGCCACCGGTTCAGCTCATTCCCCTCCCCCGCTACCACTTTTCTAAGATGGTCGCGTACCACCTGCCAGGTGCCAATGTACCACAGGTGGTACCCGTACCACTGGTTGAAAAGCCCTGGTTTAGATCATGGGCCAAGAAAAGAAATGGGGGAAGGTTTGTGAAGGCCCTTTCCTAAATAAACACATTTCCCTTTGGAAACTGGCCTGGGACAGACCACATAAAGAGGGATGTGGCCTTCAAGCCTAACCAAGCTGGCTTGCCCGCAAAACATCCCAAAACAAGCATATGAACAAGGCCTACAAGACAGCAAACCAACGAGGGTTGAGTTGGAGTCATTCAAATGTCGGAGACCATCAAAAGCAAGGTACGGCTATCCAGCCACTTACCTGCCTGGTTCTTTGGGCATGCAGGAAGGAAAGCTTCTTCGGGGCTTGCCCGTCACTCTCGGGCCGAGCCACATGGATGGAGTCTCTGCTGCTGCGTAACTTCATTGTGCTCACTGGGATGGCCAGAGACATCTCCTCCGAGGAGGCATCCGTTAGATCATCCTGCAATTCTGGGTTGATCTCCTCGCTCCACGGGGTGTCTGCCTCTTCCTCGTCACTCTCCTGCCACGAAAGTGAATTGAATTAATGGACTGTATTTGTACACCCCCTGTAGGAGGTGACAAGGCTGAGCCCAAGGGGGAGGGGTCAAATGTGTTATCGGTCTTGAGTCCCTTCTTGCTCGCAAGAATTCCCGTGACTCTTATCCACTGCCCATTTGTTTTGGCCATTAGTTATTCAGATTCTTGTAAACGTAAGCTTGCAATAAATTCTTATTTTCATTTGAATGGAATGAAACCCCCGAATAAACCAAAGAGCTCCCAGTAGAAAACCAGATTAAGAGAAATCAGCACACTATCAGAGCTGAAACTTCTCTTCTGCCTGCAACATGATAATTAATAATAAATAGCTGTAAATGAGGAGCGTGAAAGGGAATCGGATGAAACTACCCAATCAAAACCCAGAGGGCATCATCAAGTGTTTCCTGGGAGAGCACCGTTTTGCAATAATTACCATTAAATCAAACAGATAGAACATAGCTAGACTCTGAAGAGAGGTTATTATTCCATTAAATAGGAGCCAAGGTAGAGAAACAGCCTTCCCTTACATCAGGGGTCTTCAAACTTGGCCCTTTTATGACTTGTGGACTTCAACTCCCAGAATTCTTCAGCCAGGCACGCTGGCTGAGGAATTCTGGGAGTTTGAAGTCCACAAGTCATAAAAGGGCCAAGTTGGAAGACCCCTGGTCTGGATCCAAGCCTGCAGTTTCATCAAAATGGCCGACTGAGAAATTCTGGGAGTTGAAGTCCACAACTCATAAAAGGGCCAAGTTTGAAGACCCCCTGCCTTACATCACTGCTTTTCAAACTTGGCCACTTTAAGACTTGTGGACTTCAACTCCCAGAGTTCCCCAGGCAGCATGTTTAAGGGAATTATGGAATTATCCTGGCTGAGGAATTCTGGGACTTGGAAGTCCACATGTCTTAAAGTATAAGGACTGGGGAATTCTGGGAGTTGTAGTTCACACATCTTGAAGGGGCCAAGATTGAAAAAGACTCATCTAGGCATTCGTGAATTAACAGCTGCACCCCTTAAATTGTCCCCTCTAGCCATTTTCAGCCCATCTCTCTATCCTATTTTTCACCTTGGGGGGTTAGTTCTTACTCACAATAGAATGATGCTTGAGTTGTATGAGTTATTTGTCTCTGATACTGCATCACGATATTTTCTGTCTATCTAGCAAACCTCTTAAGGCAGGGGTCTTCAAATGTGTCCCTATTAGGACTTGTGGACTTCAACTTCCAGAATTCCTCAGCCAGGCATGCTCGCTGAGGGATTCTGGGAGTTGACATCCACAAGTCATAAAAGGGCCAAGTTTGAAGACCCCTGTCTTAAGGAAAATTATACTTTACAATACAGATGTACAATATAAACAACATGACCCGAAGGAAGATGAATAGGAAGAGAAGAGCTAAATTATGCACAAATATGGCAGTTGAAGTTGTCTTAAAAGTTGTCTGGTTTGCAAAAAATTACTCTGGACAGCATTGTAGTAGTTGATTCCTCCCACATTAATCTAATGTAAAAAAGATGCTGAGACTGTAAAAAGACTACAGAGAAGAGCAACAAAGATGATCAGGGGAGTGGAGGCTAAAACATATAAGGAACGGTTGCTGGAATTGGGTATGTCTAGTTTAATGAAGAGAAGGAAAAGAGGGGACATGATAGCAGTCTTCCAGTATCTCAGGGGTTGCCCCAAAGAAGAGGGAGTCAAGCTATTCTCCAAAGCGCCTGAAGGCAGGACAAGAAGCAACGGATGGAAACTCATCAAGGAGAGAAGCAACCTAGAACTAAGGAGAAACTTCCTGACAGTGAGAACAATTAACCAATGGAACAACCTGCCTCCAGAAGTGGTGAATGCTCCAACACTGGAAGTTTTTAAGAAGAGACTGGACAGCCATTTGTCTGAAATGGTATAGGGTTTCCTGCCTGAACCTTGGGTTGGACTAGATGACCTCCAAGGTCCCTTCCAACTCTGTTATTCTGTTATTCTCGTCTGTTATCTTTCCGACTTATTCCACCTCGGGTGCAGATAATTTTCACAAGAGACGCCAAATCTCACCTCTGACAATCCTGCTCTGTGCAGATCTGCTGCTGAGGGAAAATTTTTCTTCAGCGTTAAAATGGGTTTCCGCATTTTCCCGCAATCAGACAAGTTGTGTCTTCTCTCCAGGCTGTAAGTGCTTTCTTCACCGGGGGAAGATTTAATGACTTTCCTCCGTTTTCCATAATAGTATGCTGGAGAGGAAAAGTTTGGTAAAAAATAAAAATAATAATCAAACCATTCAATTCTGGGGAACTACAGATAGTTCCTTGACCTATAGCCATTTGTTTAGTGGCCATTCAAAGTTACGACAGCGGTGAAAAAAGCGACTGAGGAACGTTTTTTTCCACACTTACGACCGTTGCAGCTTCCACGTGGTCACGTGATCAAAATTCCGATGGTTCATATTTATGACGGTGGGCAACCTTCTGACAAGCAAAGTCAATGGGGGAACCGGTTTCACTTAACGACTGTGTGACTTACTTAATAACTGCGTTGATTCCCTTAACAGCTGAGGCACGAAAGGTTGCAAAAATGAGGCAAAACTCACTTAACCAACTGTCACGCTTAAGCAGCAGAAATTTTGGGCTAAATTAGCATCATTAAACTAATTTGATATTATATTTCTTTCCTCAGCCAGAATGCAAGAAATTCCGGTGGCTTCCCCAGTGCTGTTCTTCAGAGTCAATTTAAATTGTTTCCCATCAGCAAATGCCAACACCAAATCTGATTTATTGGCAGATTTCTAGGCCACCCCAATCATAATACCCTAGGCCCAGGGTAGGCATCCTTGGCTCTTTTATGACTCGTGGACTTCAACTCCCAGAATTCCTGAGCCAGCATGGCTCAGAGCTTGGAAACCTCTCCCTTTCCCCTCAGCGTGATGGCTTAGGAATTCTGGGAGTTGAAGTCCACGAGTCATAAAAGAGCCAAGGTTGCCTACCCCTGGGATAGGTCATGCAAGAGAAACAAAATCCACACAAATCAAAACCAAACCACGTTTTGTGCCACCGTTGTCATGTACACTTACCGTATTTTGTTTTGGTGTGACTGGAACAGTTTTCAGGGCAGCTTTCGGTGACCGGCAGAGGGCTGAATAAATTGGGGCAGCATTCCAGTTTCGCACACACCTTCCGGCAAAAATCTGGGACTTGGTCAGACGTACGAACTATCTTGACCGTTGCCCTGTAGGTTTTCCCTCGGTATCTGTGATAGTGGTTGCAACACAGCAAACGTTACACCATAAATCAAGATTGGGGGGGGGGGGGTAACACTTTAGTTTAGTTGGATCAGCCAGGTCCCCACAAAGATAGGTCACAGGGACACAAACCAGGATTTAGGAATGGTTTGTGGGAAGAATCCAGAGAAAGAAATATTTTGGGAAATATTAAGAAGGCAGAATATATTACTCCAAAGGATTTTAAAGGCAGAAACCAATCCTCCCCCCAAACGGTTTCTGCTCCAAACAAAAAACCAGGTCTGCAGAAATGCAGATGTGATAATCTTGTCAGAAAGATTGGATTATTTTTATTTCAGACGGTTCCTGTTAAACTAAGCCAGAAATTTTTTGATGACTTAAATGCAACAATAATGAGATTTATATGGCAAGGGAAAAAAGCAAGAATCAAAATTAAACTGCTACAAAAATCAAAAGACAGAGGGGGCTTTGGGCTCCCAGACTGGAGACTTTATTACCAAGCCGCTATTTTGTTGTGGCTTAAAGAATGGATCACACTGAGAAATAAACAACTTCTTTACTTAGAGGGACATGATTTGCAACTGGGTTGGCATGCTTTCCTTTGGTGCGAGAAAAACGAAGTACATAAATACTTCCAAAGCCATGCCATAAGGAATGTATTACTTTCAGAGTGGGAGATAGATTCCTGCTAAACTGGAAGATGGAACAAGTGAAAGAAACAATGATAGTGTGGGCAAAGAATTTTGGTTATTCTATAGATTTAAAAGATTGGCAAAAACTATGGGACCGAAATATTAAATTCACTAAAGCAGCTGCATATAAGGAAAACCTATATAAAATGTATTATAGATGGCACATGACACCAGTTAGATTAGAGAAAATGTTTAAAAATGTATCAAATATGTGCTGGAAATGTAAACAACAACCAGGCACTTATTACCATCTCTGGTGGATATGTCCTAATGCTAAAAAGTTTTGGTTTAAGATCCATATGTGGCTAGAAGAGATGATTAAAATACAGATAAAATTTAAACCAGAACTCTGTTTGTTAAGAATATTAGGTTTGAATTATGGAAAAGAGAATGAGTATTTAATATTGCATGTGCTGACAGCCGCAAGAATAATATTTGCCCAATTTTGGAAAAATGAAAATTTACCATCTGACCAGGCTATAATAACAAAAATACTCGAATGTGCAGAAATGGATAGATTGACTTTAGAAATGAAAGAGAAAGAAGACACAATTTATTTTAAAACATGGGGAAAAATTTATTATTGGTTAGAAACACGCTAGAATGAGAAAAGATTATGAAATTTAAAGAGATAATTGATAATTTGTATTTATATTCCATGATTATTTGTATGAACTTGTTCTTATTTCTTCTTCTTCTTCTTCCTCTTTGTATATTCGTGATCTTTATTAATATGGTAAACTAGAATTAATATGTAATATATTATTATCTTAAAGTGATTATAATTAATTAATATTAAGCATTGTTAAGTAGTGAAATGAATGAGATTTATTGACTAACTTGTTATTTACATGATTATATGGAAAGTTGTTTAATAACAGAGTAATTATTAAGATTTAATATGTAAACCCGGACTGGTAGACTTGCTGAAGCGATGTTATTTTGTGGGATAATCCCACTTTTGTGTTACCCCTTTCCCCTGGTCTAAACTTTTTGTATGCTTCCCGTTGTCTTATCCTTTTTGACCCTATCCCTTTATTATCTTTATAAAACTCAATAAAAATATTTAAAAAAAAAAAGAAAAGAAAGGTTGGAGACAGGAAGCTGGGATTAGAAAGATAAAGATCCCTAGAATCAACAATCCCTCACACCCAAAAAATCCAACACTCATCAGTCACAGCAGGCATAGACTCGAGCCCGTAAAATGATAATAATAACAACAACAACAACAATAAAGCTGGAAGGGATCTTGGAGGTCATCTAGTCCAACCCCCTGCTCAGGCAGGAAAGCCTATACCAGGGGTCTTTAAACCTGGCCCTTTTACAACTTGTGCACTTCAACTCCCAGAATTCCTCAGCCAGGCACGCTGGCTGAGGAATTCTGGGAGTTGAAATCCACAAGTCATAAAAGGGCCAAGTTTGAACACCCCTGGCCTATATCGTTTCAGACAAATGGCTGTCTAGTCTCTTCTTTAAAACTTCCAGTTTTGGAGCATTCACAGCTTCTGGAGGCAGGTTGTTCCACTGATTAATTGTTCTAACGGTCAGGAAATTTCTCCTGACATATTCCTTGGCGTGATTGTTCCAATAACATTTTCATTTTACCAGCCACACTGAGGTAATAATAAAAAAAGAAAACCTCATCCAAACCTATTAGCTGGAAGAATTTAAGATGTGACAGTTTACTAGGCCTTGCATCCGTCTGGAACAGCAGAAATTCCCCTAGTGGAATTCATTTTGCTTTCCTAATTAAGTGTGACATAACTGAAGTTGTAGAAGCAGGGATAAAAAATCTCCAAAGGGCTGTTTTGCAAAAGAACCTTGAAAAGAACACACCAAAACTCTTGTGCTGAGCAAAGAAGGTACGTACGCATGTAGCCCTTGACTTACAGCAGGGATCCTCAAACTTGGCCACTTTAAGACTTGTGGACTTCAACTCCCAGAATTCCCTAGCCAGCATGGCTGGCTGAGGAATTCTGGGAGTTGAAGTCCACAAGTCTTAAAGTGGCCAAGTTTGAAGACCCTTGTCATAAGTCAAGGATTACTTACATCCTCAAGTACATTAAGTGGAGGCTTTTAAAACTTTTTTGCTGTAATTTGGCGACAGTGGCTGTGTTTGGCTAAGTTATTGACACAATAGTTTGTTCAATTGTTTTCAGGTAAAATATCTTCTACCTGCCAACATCCTTTCCCTCCCGTGCCCGCCATCGTGGATATATTCTTAAACAGAAACAGTCTAGTTTTTCTTCCTTTTAGAAATAGTCCTTACTTTGCTTTGAGATTCTCTTCCTGAAAGTTCCACCTGGGGTTGTCGACAAGTTGTAACTCTCGCAAAATGCTTCTGGGTTTGTAGGCAGAGTTGACCACCATACGAAGGATCTGAGCAGAGCAAAGACACTGGGCTTGAAGCTGTGGCCGGAAAGCATCAAAGACTGCACAGTTCAAGATTAATATCAGCCCTGTGAGGTAGGCCAGCTTAGAATAGAATAGAATAGAATAGAATAGAATAGAATAGAATAGAATAGAAT